CGCTGGCAAGGAAATTGTCATACCTACTTGGCTAATGGCTCCCAGCACCAGGAGAGATTTTGTAATCTACCAATGCTTGGGTCTCATCTCAAAACAATTAAATCAGAATCCCATTGAGCAGGGTTCCAACATCTATATATTTTAAAAACTCCTCGATGATTCTAATGCACAGCCAGAGTTGAGAACCAATGCTTTAACTTTTAGGATGCAAGTAGGTGTCAGTTCAGATGCTAACACCAATTAATTGATAGAGGTATTAGCAGGCCATCTGAGAAGGCCCAGGAGAGGTTTTCTGGACTTAGAAGGAGAAAGTGCTGTAAATGGAGAATGTGTAGGCAGAGATCCGTGTTTGCCCTGGGCACAGGAGGGGTGGTGGGTGGCACAGGAAGGGTGGGTGGCACAGGAGATCTGTGCCAGCAAATCCAGATGTAGCCCACCTCCTTTATTTTAAAGATGAAGAAACTGAGGTCAGAGAGTTTGTGTGGTTTACTATCATAACAAAACAAGCTAGTGGCAAAGCCAAATCTAAGCTCACTTCCCCTCACCTCAGTCTGTTTGTTAATAAAACATAGTGACTTCTAACCCAATTCACAATCCCCAGGAAGACACAAGACAAGCCCTGTGATGAACCCCACCGTGCCACCACACACCAGCTACTTCATGTGCCCACATCCAGTACCCTCATGTCAGGGCCAGACCCTTAAGTACCTACTCCTCTCCTCTGCAGTTGCCATTCAGGTTGTCCTTAAAGAGAGCCAGAGAGAGAGGGTTGCAGGGCTGGAGCCAGGAGCTGCAGCCATATCTTAGTTCATTACTAAGCCAGGGAGAGGCTGCTCAGGAATGCGCCTGGGAATGGGTGGGTGCGCTGCTGCCTCCTGCATGTCCCGTTCGAATCATTGCCTATCTTAGTAGCCGTCGGGGTGACTCACATCTGTGTGTGTGTATGTGTGAGAGTCAGGGATCTGTCATAAAGACCCCATGAGTCACTCACTTCCTGACCATTGCACTATGGAGACAGCTTCAGGATGCAGGAAAGCACAGGAAAAGAGCCCTTTGGCCAGCAGTGGGTTGTGTGTTTCATTGCATTAATTTTTTTTTCACTTTTTTGTTTTTTTGTCTCTCTAAGGCAAAAAAAAAAAAATGAAGAATTCTTTGACTTCTTGATGTCTGTTTCTTTCAGAATCCTCTAAATATAAACAGAAATAACTTTCTGAAATTTTTATTGTCATTGTAGCTGCAGATGGAGAAGCAGAGATGGCCAAGAATTGTTTCCATTGAGCAAGGAAGTTCACTTTGGAGCACTGTCAGGCTGAGCGTGAGGCTCAGGCCCAGAAGCAAAGTTTGGGCCCTGCAGGTGGAAGAAGATGCACAAGGTAGTTAGGGTAGTAGACATGCTTCATTCACAGGTGGCTCCAGCTTCCACCCCCGGCCAGTTCCATTTTGCCCCCCTGCAGCCATTTCCATAGCCCTTTTTTATTTGCAGGCCAAACAAAGAAGGCACACAGCCAACAGATTACATAAGTGGACTCTAGTTCACAAGAAAATATTTCTGACTTCTACTACACACTGACCATAACATAGCCGATTCACAGCCTTGGCTACATATTAAAAACATAACATAGCCTGCCAGAAATCCAAACAAGGGGGCCTAACTATAGACATTTTGGGCCTGCCCCCAATAAGTACCAAACCCAATACACAAAGAGGCACCAGTTTGTCAAAATCCAATTTTTTCCCCAGGTGGGTTAGTAGGGACTTTGAAAGGCAGCTGACCCATGAGCCAAATTATGTCTATGCAGTTCCCTACCTTGAAGCTTTTTCTGGATGATCAATGAAAGAGAATCAGGGCAAGCTCCAGGCGTCCATGTTTTAGACCACATGTTTCCATGGCTGTTCATACTGTGCCTCACCAGACATCCATCTGCAGGTCAGCTCCATCTCTGCATACCTCTGTAGGAGCAGGAAGACCATTTGCCTGCAAGAACTGCAGCTGCTTCTATTCACAGTCCCAGCTCACTTCCTGTGTCCCCCCAACCCTGGCTCCACAGTAAAGATGCTCCAGAGAATTAGAAAGATATTCATTAGTGAGAATCCTGTTGGGTGTTTAGCCTAAATAAATATTCTTAACCTTGGGTCCAGGGACATCATACCCCATGGTAACCATGATCATCAAAAGCAGAATAATCTTGGGATTCATAATTTATGAATTCAAAATTCATAAATTTTGAGCTCAGACTATGAACCAACCAAGATGGGTGTTGTACAGAATATGAAGACATCTGAAAGGCATGATCCTTTCCTTCAAGGAGCTCCCTCTGCTTGGGAAGCTAGGACTCCAATATCAGGTCTCAAGTTATGTGAAACTGCATACAGGGCCCAGCTTTTATACTTGGTGAAAGAAAGCACTGATACAGTGGGGTTCTTCAAGAAAGACAGCTTCAGGGAGATGTTGACTCCTGAGATTCTCAGGGGTTAGCTCTCTTAAAAATGTGTGCATGACCTTATCACAATACCAGACCTTAAATTGTACTAAATTATCCCACTCTTGACTTATACCCAGAGGACTTAAAATCAGCATACTACAGAGCAATAGTAACAAAAATGGTGTGGTACTGGCACAAAAACAAACATGAAGATGAATAGAACAGAAGAGAAGACACAGAGACAAACTCAAATAAATGTAATTATCTCATACTAGACAAAGGCACCAAAAACATACATTAGAGAAAAGATGGCTTCTTCAACAAATGGTGCTGGGAAAACTGGAAAACCATACATAGTAGAATGAAGTCGAAACCCTATCTCTCACCCTACACAAAACTCAACTCAAAGTGGATCAAGGACTTAGAGATTAGACCAGAGACCCTGTGCCTAATAGAAGAAAATGTAACTGTCCACTATGTGAGCTTAGGAACTGACTTCCTCAGCAAGACTCCTAAAGCACAGGAAGTAAAATCAAGAATCAATACATGGGATGGTATTTTTTTTAAAAAAAAAAAAAAAAGAAAGTTTTCTTCACAGCAAAGGAAACAATCAAGAACGTAAAAGAGAGCCTACAGGATGGGAGAAAATCTTTGTCACCTGCACCTCAGCAAGAGCATTAATCTCCAGGATATATAAAGAACTCAAAAAACTGAACACCAAAATTAAAAAAATAAACAATCAATAAATGGGCAAAGGAACTGAACAGGTACTTCACAGAAGAAGAAACATGATTGATCAACAAATATATGATAAAATGTTCAACATCTCTAGCAATTGAGAAATGCAAATAAAAACTACACTGAGATTCCATCTCACTCCAGTCAGAAATGGAAATTATCAAGAATACAAGAAACAATAAATGTTGGAGAGGATGTGGGGGGAAATGTATACTTATTCATTGCTGGTGGCACTGCAAATTGTAGCAACCTCTATGGAAAGCAGTATAGAGATTCTGCTCAGAAAACTTGGAATGGAACCACCATTTGACCCAGCTATCCCACTCTTGACTTTACCCAGAGGACTTAAAATCAGCACACTACAGTGATGCAGCCAAATCAATGTTTATAGCAGCTCAATTCGCAATAGCCAAGCTATGGAACCAATCTATGTGCCCTTCAGTAGATGAATGGATATGGGAAAAGTGGTGTGTGTGTATACACACACACACACACACACACACCACACACACAATGGAATATTACTCAGCCATAAATAAGAATGAAATTATGGCATTTGCCAGTAAATGGATGGAACTGGAGACTATCATGTTAAGTGAAATAAGCCAGTCCCAAAACACCAAGGCCAAATGTTCTCTCTGATATGTGGATGCTAACGCATAACAAGGGACAGTAGGAAGGGGAAGAATAGAAGTTCATTGGATTAAACAAAGGGGAATGAAGGAAAGGGAAGGGATTGGCAATAGGAAAGACAGTAGAATGAATCATACATAACTTTCCTATGTTCCTATACAAATACACAACCAGGATAACTCCACGTCATGTACAACCACAAGAATGGGATCTTAACTTATACTCCACATATGTATAATATGTCAAAATACACTCTACTGTCATGTGTATCTAAAAAGAACAAATATAAAAAATTTAAAAATTTAAACTTAAATTTAAAAAATATGTGGCCTTTGGGAAGTCAGTTATACATCTGACAATTTTGTAAATTTCTGATTTTTGATCTCCATGAAGTGGGCTTCAACCATATACTCCCAAGCCCAGAGTTGCTGACCAGTGAGGCTGGTCACCCTTCACCAAGCTGAAACATCTCCTCCCATTACCAGGGAACCCTGCAGCCCAGCAGCCAGCCAACTTCTCCAGGACCAGTAGCACCATCAGAGGCCTTGCCTGCTGATCCACTTCCACACCTCATTGCTCTCCAGCCACAGAACAATATGCTGGAGCATTTCAAACAGCTCCCACCAAACACCCTGATGACATCCCAACACAGCTACAAAGGAAATTAATGGTTTCCCTCTCAGGATTTAATTTATACAAATGCAAAAACCCCTGTGAACACTTTCCCATATTTGTAGATCTCCTCTTGCTGTTGTTTTTTAAATACTGTTCCTTGGCATGAAAGAAGGGAAATGATGCAAAAATAAAACCCCCTTTTTAGGACAGGAACAATTTGGTGGCAAATTGTGATCAAATTTCTTACAGTAAGTAACTGTAAGAAACAGTACAACCAGTGACCATTTCAAAATGTAAATATGATCAAGTCCCATGCACACCTTCCCTAAACATAGCCTTTCATCAACCCTGAATGACTTCCCATCCTTCTTAGGGTAAAGGCTAAACTCTTAACAGGGTTTACAGGGCTTGTCTATCTGTCCCTGGTGCCTCCCCAACTTCATTTTGCATCTAGCTGTCCTTGCCCACAGTCATGTGCCCTATTTCTTTTAGGTCTGTGATTAGATCAATTTCCTCCACTCTTGGGACCTTTATACATGCTATTCCTCATTCTTAGAATACCATTCCTAAAAAAAAAAAAAAAAAAAAAAAACGAAAAGAAAGAAAGAATACCACTCCTGCTCAGCCCTTCATCTGGTTTAACCTAGGATTCTTTGACTCCCTACATAAATACAGCTTGCTCAGGGAACACACTGCCCCCCATCTCACTGACAATCTTTTCTAGCTTCACCATCATCCCACTTCTCCTCATGTGCTAAATTAGGCTAAGACCTGTTCTGTCACTTTCCATATTTCCTGTGAGCATCAAATGAGATGTTCTATGGCATGTCAGAGAGAAAGAACAGATGTCTCTTCCATCTTTTAGTGTACTTCCTGTACTGCAGAGACCGAAAAGCTAACATCAACAGCTTCCAGACTCCCTTGCAGCTATGTTTCCAGTCGATATAGGTTCAATCAATCATATGTCCTTTTATGGGAACTGAATGTAGAAAGCTGAGAAGACAAGAGTATGGGCATGAGTCATACATTCTGCTAGTGCAGATCAGATCTGGAGTTACTTGGCTCTGGAGCCAACAGTACTGATCTCCAACTTAAAACAAGAGTCATATATTCCTTCTTTTCTTAATTTTTTTTTTTTAGTTGTAGATGGCCACAATGCTTTTACTTTATTTATTTATTTATATATGGTGCTGAGGATCGAACCCAGGACCTCACACATGCTACGCAAATGCTCTACCACTGAGCCACAATCCCAGCCCAAGGGTACTATATTCTTACGATAACATTTCTGGCAGTGGCCTCCTGTAGCAGGTGGATGCTTCTTTAAAGGCTAGTTCCACATACAATGATGGAAGTCACCCTGGGAACTCAACCTGAAACCTGTTCCTTTAGCTCTACTAGCCATGTTTTAAGCACCTAATTTCCTATATTACATCCCTTTTTGCTCAAGTTCCTTGAGAGGTTTACATTATCTGCAAAGCAGGGTGTCTGACACATAAGAGAAAGTGCTTCTGGAACAAGAAGCTGCTGCTTATGATTACTCATGAAGGTTTCAGAAAAGGCTGAGAAGAGTGAGTGCCAAAGAATGCGCAGACTCAGGAAAAGCAGACAAATGGCCACCCTCTTAGAACCAGTTTCCCAGAGTCAACAGGCATTTTTTAAAGGTAATTTTCTTTTTATTTTCATATCTTTATTTTGTTTTGTTTATTTTTTTATGTGGTGCTGAGGATCAAACCCAGTGCCTCACATGTGCGTGACAAGCTCTCCGCCACTGAGCCACAACCCCAGCCCATCAGGTATTTTTAAAATACAAACTTTTGGGCTGGGATTGTGGCTCAGTGGTAGAGTGCTTGCCTAGCATGCGTGAGGCACTGGGTTTGATCCTCCACACCACATAAAAATGAAATAAAGATATTGTGTATCCACTACAACTAAAAAAATAAATATTAAAAAATATAGACTTTTGTCAAATTTAAGAGTTTGTTTTTGCAAATAATGATTCATGAATAGGGAAGGGCTGTACTCAGAACCAGAAAAGATTCCACAAGCTCCACTCTGTAATGTGGACAATGAGTATTCATAGACAACCTCAGGAAGTAAATATGAACAGATTGGTTACAGGTAGGCATTTCCCTATTTGGACACATTCTGATTAGCTGGCTCCCTGTGATTGGTTAACACTCTGCTGCTTATGATTGACTGAGACTCAGCATTTGTTGTACTCCTAAATTAGGTTTTCTGTTTGTCACAGTACTATGTTAGATTGCAGTTCATGACATAGGAATTCACAGTACATAGCCTCAGGCCAGGGTCTCCTGCTTATTTAATTTAATATCCTATAAATCCAGAATCTGCACTTGAAACATGGAAGTGTCTCTACAGTCCCCATCATTGTGGAATCCAGCTCCCCTTCTACAGCCTCGTCTTTCCCTGTCAGGAAAGCATGAACAACGTGACATTTACCACTTTGAGAGGACTTTCTAGAGTCAAGCATATCTCCGAGTGGCAGAGACATTCCTTTATCAGGGGGAAATCTGAGTCATTCTAAATAGCCCAAACATACCTCTCTCACTTTGACAAATACATCCTTTATCCTTGATGGTTGTTCATTCTGTAGTCATTCCCACGTCTGTGAGGGAGGGAGATAGAGGAAGCCGGCTTTCGTGTGGCTCAGGCTTTTCACAGAGCAGGGCAGACCATTCCAGCACCCAGTAATGCCAGTCCCCTCAGAGGCTATTGGGGTGAGTCCCAACAGGATGACAGCATGAAGGTCTTGCTTCTTCAGCACATTTTTTTCTCCAACTGTCTATAAACTCTGGCTCAGCTACAGAGAGCTCAACTGGAATGCCCTGGGTGTGGCATCCATGCACTTGAATGGAAAACCTGAAGTTCAGAGAGAGTGGGGGGTGAGACTGAGACCCAACTAAAATCACCTACAGCCCTGAGCCTCTGATTATTTCCCTGGCTCATCTAACCATCCCTTAAAGGCTTGTGGCAATCACTTACCAGGATAAAAGAGTCTCAGTTAAAGAAGCTAGCAGGGAGGAAGGAGTGAGGGAGGGATTAAGCACCCAGAGCCTAGAGACGTGGCTCAAAGAAGTGGCAGGGGAGAGAGACAGAATAAATCACCACCAATGAAGCCGTGCTTCTTTCTGATCTATATGAAAATGAACTTGTGTCCCTTCTGAGTGGGAACTGTCCTTCTGGCTGCAACCAGGAAGAAGCTCATCTGTGCAGCGAGAGAGAGTGGGTGCTCAGGGAGCTGTGTTGGAAGCATCCCTCCTCAGACAAAACTCAGAGCCCAGCTGCCTTTGGGGAAAGGGTGACTGAGCTGTAGAGCCCCGTGTTTCACCGGGTTTTGGTCCAGAGCTGCTGGGCTATATTTGTTTCCCAGGGCTTCTTGAATGATTTCATTCCAAGAAAGGAATATGTTGAGGCTTAAAAACAAAACAGCAAAGCCACTAAAGGCTTCTCATCTTCCTGATTCCCAGCCTATTGTTCCCTCTTTCCACTGTCTGTGTCAGGTTAGGCAGGGTTTCTATGGGGTGAGGGCACGCTTATAACCAGGGTCTGCCTGCAGCATATTATTGAGAGGTCTCCTAGGAAAGAGCCCCCTGCCTTAGGAGAAAGAGAGTCAAACAAATATAACCTGGAGCAAAGATGGCACCCTGGAATCAGAGGACACAGTCCCCATGAACTTACAGTTGCATGCTAAGAAAGAAGACAGCAAATAAAAGGGGAAGAGCTGTTGAGCTAGAAATCCTGTAAGCTAGAGAGAGCAACGCCTCATTTTTCTGAACTCAAGAAACAAAGAACAGCTGAGAGATGAAAACAGGGGCTCCCAACTCAGCAGAGAGGCCAGTTGGGGTCAGCCCATTGAGAGACTCCTCCAGCCCAGCCAAAGCGCAGCAGCCAGTAGCACAGCAAGCAAAGCAGTCTCAGCCCAGTGTGGCCCTGGGGCACTAGGCTGCAGCTGCAGCAGCAGCAGCAGCAGCAGCAAATTCTAGCAGTGCTGGGAGCATGGCGGGGGGGGGGGGGGGCAGACTCAGCAGGAGCCCTCCCCATTGACCAGAGTCAGAGAACTGTTCAGGCCACACAGGGTCACCCCTGAGGACTCCCTAAGACAACAAAAGTGACCTCAGGGAGGCAGAAGGACCTCAGTAGGTGAGAACAGAGACAGAAATATTATACTGTTAGTGTTCCATGAAAGCCCCAAGATGGGTGTGCCCTAGCATACACAAGGTACAGGCCGTGGTTTAAGACCATAATATGAGAAATGATTCAAGACTACTTCTGTGCTGACTTACATAGATTTAGGCCCTGTCCTGATATGGAGTAAAAGGAGAACGCTTTCCACTGAGGAAGTTAAGAGAACTACTCAGAGGATATCAGGCCTGCCTGGGCCTTGAAGGGTGGGTGGAATTGGAGAACTGGGCAGAGCAAATGACAGACATGAGAAGAAAGCAGAAGTGCAAAAGTGGGAGGGACTTCTAGCAAGAGTCAGAGGCCTGGCCAGCAAAGGGAACCAAGCATCTACAAGCAGAGTTGACAGACCTGGGCAAAGGGTTTCTTCCAGGGCAACTTCAGCATTCCTGGCACTGAACTGTCTTAGCCTCCCTGTACTTACATTCCTTGTAAAGCAATACAAGAATAATGACAATTTCCAATTACTTCTTACTGGTTTTAGAAAATTCATGTACTTTGGTGCGAGGTGGTGCACACCTGTAATCCTAGCAACTTGAGAGACTGAGGCAGGAGGATTGCAGGTTTGAGGCCAGCCTAGGCAATTTAGCAAGACTTACTTAAATAAAAATCTAACTATTAAAATAAAATTTTAATTACCAAACGCAAAATTTTAAAAGGGTTGGGGAATGCAGCTCAGTGGTACAATGCCCCTGGATTCAATCTCCAGAATTGCAAAAGGAAAGGAAAAGAAGGAAGGAAGGAAATTCATGTACTGATGTCCAGAAAATAATAATAATAATAATGTCTTTGGAAGGCAGAGGAAAGGTCTATAACTAGTTTTTCTAAAACACTAAATGTTTCTAGGATCACAGACAGACCCTTTTGAGGCTCTGTGGAAAGTTATGGGCTCTTATCATGAAACACAACTCCACGTATTAACATAATTCCAAAATGCTGTATATTTTCAGGGATTCCTGGAATGTAAAGTACATCATGAGTTCTCAAAGATCCATGATTCCCTAATAGAGAAACTACAATGATTTTTTTTCTTTTTCTTTTTTTTTTTTTGGGGGGGGGGGGAGGGGGCTATTTTACATGACAGTATGATACATCAAAGAGCCAGAAGTATCCACAGTCATTTATTATCAGGCACTAGGATGAGTTGGTTGAAAACACACACTTTTTTTTCTTTCACATTTTTTATTGGTACGTTATAGTTGATGGGATTTGTTGTTACATATTTATACATATACATGATAGAACAATATAATTTAACCAATATCACTCCCCAGCACTTCCCCTCCTACCCCTTGGTCCCTTTCCTCTACTGATCTCCCTTTGATTTTCATGAAATTCACTCTCACCTTTCTTTTTCTTTTTCCTCTCTAGTTTCTACATACGAGAGAAAACATACAATCCTTGACCTTCTGAGTGGACTTAATTTCGCTTAACATGGATGATCTCTAGTTCCATTCCTTTTCCAGCAAATGACATAATTTCATTTGTCTTTATGGCTAAATAAAATTCCATTGTGTAATGTACCACATTTTCTTTATCCATTCATCAGTTGATGGACATCTAGGCTGGTTCCATAGTTTGGCTATTGTGAATTGTGCTGCTATAAACATAGGTATGCATGTATCACTATAGTATGACAACCTTAATTCTTTGGGATAAATACCAAAGAGCAGGATAGCTGGGTCATACAGTGATTCCATGCCTAGGCTTTTGAAGAAGCTTCCTATTGATTTCCACAGTGATCATACTGATTTTAGTCCCCAAAGTATTCCTTTTTCTCCACATCCTCTCCAGCATTTATTATTATTTGTATTCTTGATGGCTGCCATTCTGACTGGAGAACACTCATTTTGAAGTCAAGCAGGCTGAGGTTCAAATTCCAATTCTGCCACATGCTGTGCAGGAATTATCTCCAAGATACAAATTAAGTAATGAAAAAAATAAACATTAATGGCATGCATAGTGTGCTGACAATTGTGTTTAAAAGAAGAAAAAAGATATAGGTGTTCCGATGGATGCATGGACCATCTTTGAAAGTCAAGAGAGGAAAAAAGAGAGGTTGTCTCCAAGGAAAGATTCTGAGGAATGGTAGCATACAAGCAAAAGAGTGATTTAATTTTCACTCTAAACACCCAAATATTAAATGGTGTACTATGAGTATATGACTTATTCAATTTAATATGAAATATTAAAAAGCAAATTTAAAATGCTATCGAAGTTTAGGTTTCAGAAGAATGCATGAGCACATTTAGGTTTGTTCTGCAAAGCGGAAGCATGGTAAAGGTTTTGGTTTAGCTTCAAGTATTTCCCCTGTGCTTGGGCCTTTTTTTCACAAATGCCTCTTCACAGAGGTCTGTCTCCATGGCAGCTAGCCCAGGCTGCCCCGTCTCTCTTTGTGGTTCTCATTCAACTCTCTCTCTCTCTCTCTCTCTCTCTTTCTCTCTCGCACAGAGTCAAATGCAATTGAAGAACTGGAATTTTCCAGAATTCAGGAGAACTCTAAGTGGCTGTACCTTGAGAGAGTTTCTCCAGGCAGGCTGTCAGGTTATTTCCCACTGCCACCATAAAGGGGGGAGGGAGGGAGTACATCGGAAAAGAGAAACCATCACTCCAAATAGAATGGAAATGAAAGCAATGCAAAGTAAATAGCCGAAAATTTCACGAGTGTCATTCACTATTCACAAAGACTGTTTTTAGACAACATAATAATCCACTACAACATTTATTCTGTCTGCAGGATTATTACAGCACAATTTTACCTTTCCATCTTCCATGGTGTCGTGTGATTTCTTTAGCAGTCATTTTTTGTCTTTCCCAAGTTTGGGGTTAAGATTAATCCAAATGATGACTCGGGGATGTGAGGTGGGTGGGGAGGGGTTGGCAGCCAGAAAAATCACGACAGCACTCTCGTGGCCTCGGCCCCCCTCGGCTCTCACAGATCTCATATCACAACTCAGCCAGCCTGTTCCTCAGCGTGACCCAGAATGGCCTGGACTCTCTCCCCTCACCCCCTCCCCTGCCTTAATGAGGTCTTGCTGGACCACAGCAACTTTTGCTCATCTCCCTGTGGCATCCACAGATCAGTTCAGGAAGTACTACTCGGACCCCTGCTGTGGGCCACACCTGTTCAGGTGGGAAGATCGGAGATCCACTCCACCTGACTGGGGAGGGCCATAGAGGGAGGAGGGGGCAGGGTTACTCTAAGAATAAATAAGCGATAAGGAAGAACCAGGGATGTCACAGGACCTGATAACTTGAGCCCATCCTCATGGGAACCAAAGCTTCTGAATATTCTGAACTGAGGTGCCTTTAGAGACATCAGCAGCAAAAGGTCTCCAGTGTCCTTTTGTCTGGTGACCTTCCATGTGTCTGTTTCTAAACAGAGCTGTCACTCTCTACATGTCTGTTTGATGTTTTTCTGTCCCCATGGCTGGCCTCCCCTGTTCACTCACAGTTTTGCTGATTTTTTTTTTTTTTTTTGCCAGGGATTGAACCCAGGGGCGTTTAACCACAGAGCCACATCCCCAGCCCTTTTTGTATTTTACTTAGAGACAGGGTC